TTCCTTCAGATACATGCCCAGGAGTTTTGTGGCAGGATCATATGGTAGTTCTACATTTTGGAGGAACCTCCATACTGATTTCCACAGATGCTGCACTAACTTATATTCCCACCAACAGCGTAGAAGAGCTCCTCTCCCCACATTTGTTGGTTTGTTTTTGCAGTACTGGGGCTTGAATTCAGGGTCTACACCTTCAGCTATTCCACCAGCCCTTTTTTGTGATGGCTTTTTTTCAAGATAGGGTTTCACAAACTATTTGCCTGGGATGGCTTTGAACTGCAATCCTCCTGATCGCTGCCTCCTGAGTTACTAGGATTACAGGCATGAGTGACCCATGTCCAGCCCTGTTGATTTCTTGATAACTATTAAGATTGCAGAAAGATGGAATCTTAGTGATGTTTTGATTTGCAATTCAAAAAACCTTAAGGTGAGAGTGCTTTGAAAACTATAAGGCAGCAATCTCAGTTGCATGCTATTTACTGCTATTTATTACTCAACTGTCTTCCTAGCAATGGTAGAGAACATTAATCATAGGTCTCTCCATCCCAAAGGTGTGATCATATCCCAACACCCTCAAGGATCCTACAGTTGGCCAGAACACAGTTGCCCCTTCCTATTAAGGGTGTGCAATAGTACCAATGTTTTTCTGTGCCTCCAGTTGGGTACTCAAAAGAAAACTGGGTTCACTGGTTTGAGAACCGTAATTCTACAGGTCATACCACTGACATACATTTAGTGTAATCACTTACAACTCATAAAACCATCCCAGAAAATTTTATGCATTTCCAGCAACTCTAGTCAGTCATGTGGTTCAGGGTTGCTTTTTAAATTCATATAATGGCTGCAATACGTTGATCCTGAATTATTTTCCACTGATTCCCTTCTGGTAATGTTTGAGGTGTTTGGTGATAGATAGCGTGGTCTTCATCTTTGCTCCACCTTAGGTTTTCACCTCACATCTTCACTTGCCTAATCATCTCTATTAAAATTTTGTGCATATATTACCACCTATGCTTTTCTCTCACACTCACCCAGTTATCTTTTCTGTTCTACCTTTCAAAAATTCAACCTCTTCTCCTAAAAGTCCTTCGTCATTGTTGACGGTTTCAATCCTGTTTTTCAGCTCTGCTTCTTTCAATTTCTTTTGTTTTTGTTGAGACAGGTTCTTGCTATGTAGTCCAGGCTGGCTTCAAATTCTTGATCCTTCTGCCTCTACCTCCCCAGTGCTAGGATTACAGGCATATGCCACCATAACTGGTTTAAATATCTCTATCTTATATCCACAGGAAAATATTAGGTATATGGAATATACAAGACACAACCCCTCCTCTCAAGCCCACCTCTAATTTTTCACTTAAAACATTTCCTTTGTTTGTCTATACCTCCAAACTTATGAATTTAGATATCTACTGTATTTGAAACAGAAATCTTTCATCTTTCAAATTAAAAATTCATTTACATTGTTCATTACATTTACATTATTCATTACATTGGCTCCCCACTTCTCATGTATCCCCATGCTATTATGAAAAATAAGTTTCTAGAAGTTAGAACATTAACTGGTTATGTGATGATTAGATCAGTGTGTGTGAAATGAGGTTGTAGTTTTATTTCTAAAAATGAAATTTTGGCATTTGAGATGAATTCCAAAATATTCATGGATCAACTATAACCTGAGGATCTGTTTAGAAGTAACATACAGGGAGGACAGGGCTATAGTGTTAGGCCTAGTTGGTAAATACATGGGTAGTTCAGTACACTTTTTTATCTACTTATTTTGGTATTCTCCATAGTAAAAACGTACAATCTTTTCTCTTTACTTGCTACAGTCTGGGCTACTTTGTAAGATCTAATACTTAGATTACTTCTGCCACTTAAATGGTGTTACAAAACTCAAAAGCAAAATACAAAATTATCTTACTGTGTTATATATTAGTAATAGCTACCATTTATTAGTCGCTATGTATTAGGCACTGTTAAGGTAATTTATATAAATTATCTCACTTATTCTTCACAACAAGCTTATTAAGTAGTTGTCACTAAAAGCTCAAGAGAGGTTAGGAAACTTGCCCAGCATCATCAGGGTGAAAATAAACATTTTCAGGGTTCACTATCAGTTCCTAATATGGAAAAATAATTACTCTATAACTCAAACACAGGCTATCATCCACTCTGATGTACTTAATTTCCAAATTATAAACTACAAAGTAGGCCTGGACATTTTACATTTACCTAATTGTCACTGGACTTAGAAATTTTATTTGCATTCTCAATAAAAGCAAGTATGATAGCTGACTATGCACTGAGTCAGTTTATAGACACATCTGGAGGAAGGGAGGGAGGAATCCAAGCTTAAAGGCAGCAGGTCTAGCTTAAGGCAGTAGGTTCTGCCCCTTAAAAATGATCAATAACAATATACAATCATGGGAAATCTGGCCCTAAAGATAATACTGATCAGTCCCCTACATGTTAGGGCAATGAATCACAAAGTGAACAAACTAGCTACATTATATCAACTTGAAGTTCCATGCGTCTGTGGATTTTAATGCAGCTGTTCCTTTAAAATGGCAATACTTTCCTTAATGGAATTTGCACATTCCTTAAAATACATGTATTTAAAAATAATTATTACTACTAGCTTTAACTCTGAAATATTTAAATCCCAGGAAACAGGACTTCTTAGAAATGCCTATGGAAGGGGCAAAATATGTACTTTTTTTCAGTTCATGCAACCTGCTGGCTTTTTTAAAAAGGCAAGTAACAAGTCTTTGGCACAAGAAAAACATTGACAAACAAACTTTGCAGCTGTAAATGAACAAATGTATACACACTTCCTGAAACATCAATCTCTCTAAAGTGTATGTTTACTAGAATCCCTGTTAAGGGGACCAAAAAAGCAATATACATGGTTTTAAAATTCAAATCAATTCACTATTTAACAAATCCAGGAAGTCTTTATACAATTTAAAAACCAGGTCCTCCCCCTGGCATATTTAAGTTATTTACAAAAACATATACATAGATTTTCAAGAAACTGAGGTATTAAAAAATTGAGATGTATTTATATAGCAAAGAAGTGTTCATGAAAATCCCTAACTAAAAGACCTTGCTTCTTAGCTCTATAAAAACCTTAGATTACTAGACTGAAAACTATTTCACTGTAACTCCTGTAGTGCATATAAACTCTGAAGGTAGTAGAAGGCATATTTTGGCACTTCTAGTCTTTTTTCATATGACGATTAAACACTAAAAGAACATGTGCTTTGAGCTCGTAACAGGCTGCACCAAGCCTGGCACTCTTTGACCAGTTTACCATCCCACTCCTGCCCTTAAATGAATTACAACTTACCAAATGACCAGCTAGGGTCAAGGGTGATACTTCATGACCATGGAACACAGCAAAATTAACCTGGTTTTCTCAGAAATAAAAACACTTGCCTTGGCCTTATCAGCACAAGTGACCTTCCAGAATTAAAAAGAAAAAAAGTATATGACAAACCTCCATATTCCAGTTTGACAACTAGTAAAATGAGAAGACCAATTTCATTTTAGAAGTGAAATGATTTCAAATTCATCTTAAAAAAGAAAAAAAGAAACAATTAGGCCTATCTGTTCATGTTTTAAGGCTAAAAGCATGAGAGAAACCAGTTTTTGACAAGTCAATCTGTGCATCTCTACAATCCAAAAAACTTCCAACAAAACTGAAAAGGCCGCTTTCCTCAGGGCAAAACCACAATGGGGAATGTGTATAGGAGGGAGGATTGGACGTTAGTAACATGAGTTCAAAGAATTCAGTTATGTTCTTTTGCTCAGAGGCAATTTTTATTTCACACTTCAATACAGTAGCATCTTTTTTAAAATCCTATGTGAAATATGCTTTCTTCAATTATTACTGCTTACATGTTATCTGAAGCAATGCTGTCCAGTATAATAGCCACTGGCCACATGTGGCTAACTTCAATGAAGTAAAATTTAAAAAACCAAATCTGTTCTTTAGGCTAGTTACATTCCAGGGGCTCAGTAGCCATATGCAACTGCTGGCTACTATACTGGAGTGTGCAAGATTTCCATCTTCATTCAATGAAGTAAAATTTAAAAAACCAAATCTGTTCTTTAGGCTAGTTACATTCCAGGGGCTCAGTAGCCATATGCAACTGCTGGCTACTATACTGGAGTGTGCAAGATTTCCATCTTCATAAAAAGTGCAATTAGACAGTGCAGATCTGAAGAGAGTGCAGCTGTGCTATCTGCTTATGAGATTTTTTAAACTATTTTAAAAAGTTGCTTATAAAAAGTACCACTACAACTCAGATGCATGTTCAAGGCATGAACTAATGCTAACTTTCTTGTCCTTATTTAGACAGAATTTATGAAGTATTGTTAAAAAAAAAAAAAGAAAAAAGACTCAAATAAAACACAAACTCAAACAGATATTCCCACATTACTATAAAGAACAAAGTGAGTACTTGGCATGTATAAATAATTTAGCAGTCAAATGATTAAAACAGATCATCTCATCCACTAACAAAAAAGTCTTGAAATATGAAAGCACGTAAAACTAGTAATTTAAGTTTTTCACAAGAAGGGGACTAAAAAGCCATTTAGATAATGCTCTATTTTACTTTCTTGTTAAGCAAAAGGGGAAAAAATTACTTTAAACTGTCACAGGAAAAACTGTTACGGAACAAGTTCTAAAAAAAATAAACAACTTTCAGTTTGGTGCATGCAAAAATACTCTCATTTGTATTGGTCTCTGATATACAAGTTGACTAACTTTGAGTACTTTTAGGAAAATCAAGTCCATGTTGTTATTTTTAAATTTACTTTGTCAGAACACAAAGTAGAGCATTAACAACTGTTTTATTTCTTCCAAATAACTGCTGGATGGAAAGCTGAAAATAGGAAACAGAATAAATTGCTTGTTTTTTTTTTTTGAGAGGTAAAAGCAAAACAACCCAATCATAAAATGCACACAGCTGTATCTTAAAGAAAAATGCAAACACAACTTAACCATACTTTATTTGACTGTATCTTAGACAGCTTGCACATTTCAAATCCCATTAAATCGCTCTCTCCAAAAGGATATGGGACAATAGGAGAAAATTATGCAGCAATATCCAGTCACCAAACAGCAGTCCAATATTTTGAGATACACGTAATATTTTATAGATACTCAACTCATATCTGACGTCAATATAATTTATGGTTATGTTTTTTACAAACCTGAAAGCCCTGTAATTTCATAGCACTCGTTTCAGTGATGTCAAGGTGCACTGAAAAGCAACTCTGATGACTAGCAATTTGATTTGATTTGATCTATGCGCCTGGAAAGTGATGAACTTCATGATTTGTAGACACCATAATAAATATACACATCCAGTCTTATACACATCAGCCAATACCGTAACACAGGGCAAGGTAAAGTTAAAACATGACAAACAAACCCCTTTACATAGATTTGTCAAGCAAGTGGGAAGGGTAATTCGGAGAAGAGAGGCAGAAAGTATTAAAACCAATTTTAATAGTTTTAATTTTTTTTCTTTTTTATTTTGCTGGCTTAAACTTCAAAAACTACTGTGTGGTTTCAGATCTGTGGACTTCTACAGAGTAAGTAGTTTCATCCCAGTGTAAGGGAAATTAAAGTCAGTCCACAATCAAAACTGGTAGTATACCCGTTAGCTTCAATACTAACATATATAGCTTCATTGTAGCATGTATTAAAATGTTCAGCAGTATCACCTGCCAAACCAGTGTCAGTGGATAGTACAGTCAGTTTTAAAGAGGCAGCACCCCAATAAAAGAAAGTTGCACCAGTTTTGCTCAGTTTTAGCCAAGTGAACCCACTGTCAATTATAAACAAGACTATTTTAAGCTGAGATAAGAAAAATGAGAGCCTAATATCAAAGTAAATTAATGTTTGATGTTATTTCAACTTGGAGACTTTTAGTTTTGGTAGCAGGTTAACATGCTACCGTCGAAACTTTAGGTAAACAATTTTTGCACACCCAATTAGACACTGATAACATAAAACAGTTCAACAATATGGCAATGATTCCATTTTTTAGTAACATAGTTAAGGTCACGTTTACAAAAGCCCAGACAATCAGTTCAATTAACTCAGCAATTTTAGGGTTAAGGGTCAGTAGTGATGGTTTCATTGACAACCCACCAAAAACATAAAAATGGCTGAACAGATAATCTAGCATGTATCTACTTACGACTGTCCCCATTTAGTGAGTCAAGCAAATTTATGTTCATAAACAATTATTACCTATGAACCAGCAAGTCAAATATAAAGGGGTGAAATAAAACCTGATATAAGGACAGTGTTTTAGCTAGGTTCCTTCATATTAAAAATAATAAAAGCATCACTATGACTGGCATTCTTCTAAATGCTACAGCCCAAATGAAGTGGGACCAAAAACAGTCTCAAAATGGTCAGCTGAAGAGCTGAGTACTATGTGGGCTTTTTAATATACCCAGTGTTCTGCCCATTAAACTTTAAAGAGCAATATAAAATGAAAGGCGAGTGTTTTCCTAAAAATAAGAAATTATAAATGATCCCACCAGCAGGAAGTTTTATTTTCATCAAATATAAATTGTGCATCTGTGTTTTAGAAGTACTTGTTACCATGTTCACTTTCAAAACACTATACTGAGCAAAGAGCAGCTTTCCTTTAAAAAAATAAAAAGTAACCAACTTTCCTGAAAAGGGGCCTTTACCAACTGCTAATGGAGGTAGGGTTTTTTAAAAATACAGTAATTACAGCCATTAACTTCAAACCAAATCCTAGAGCAGAAGTAAAGCATATTTAAATGAAAAATAACAACAGCACAGATTCCTACAAAACATTTTTCAGAGAATGAATTTTTTTTTCTTATGGGAACCTAGGTTTTCCAGTTAAATTAATTATCCACTACAGGTTTACTGACTCAATGGAAAGCAATTAACTTTAAAAATTGTTATACTGCACTGATTAGCCAGAACACATTGGCTGTTCAGAAAACCCCAAGAACTCATTAAAAAGATTTTCATTTCTCCCTTTTGTTTTTCTGGATGAACAAAGCAAAGTTTCCATAAGAATCTGATCATACAAGTGAAAAGAAAATAAAAGCAGCTTAAAATGGATACTTGCACCTTGAAATCTATTTCCAAGATTAAGAACTAAAAATGAAGCATTTTAAGAAATGGAAGCAAAAATGTGACTCCAAATCAAGTGGGAAAAAAAAAATTCCAGCTACTTTATTGAAGCTGTTCTTCACAGCTTAGCAATAATTTTGATTAAATAAAATCATACCAATTTACACTAATTTTCTATTCTTTTCCCAAAATTCCCCACTCTAAAAAAAAAAAAAAGTGCATCCAAAACCCAGCAATTCCCGGCTCCATCAACTTTTCTTATCCCTTTTGAGACATTTCTCAGATTTTCCAAGTAGATTCAATTTCTTACTGTAAGGAAAGAAGGGACTTCTAAAGTAAACCACTCTGTCACTCACCTGGAAAAAGTATCCAAATAATAAAAATCTGAAATAATTTATTATCAAATTTAGAATTTAAATAAAAACAAAAGTTTGCTTGCAAAGGCCTTAAAGGAAAAAACAACATGCATTTGAAAAACTAAGAGATGAAGACAAAAATACTTATCTACACAGGCACTGACAGACGCAATTTAATTGTTATCTTCACTTGTAAGACATAGCCCACCCTACATTTTTTCATTCACTAATCACTGAGGTACCAATATTTAAGAATGGAAATTTTAATTTTGAAAAAATAAAACCTAAAGTTGAAAGCTTTTCCCTCACCCCTTTCAGAAAACTACAGCAGGTTTTGTGTGAAATGTTAGTATACTTAAAGAGATTTTTACACTCTACATTGGCTTTTTGTAAGGAACAAAAATTATGTTCTACTTACTGGTTCTGTGATAAAATGATCACTATGCAAATAACATTGTCAGTAGACTTTGCAAATGAACAAATCTTGGCTATTCAACTGGCACATCTTGTTGGTACCAAAAGAACTCTTGAAGTTTAAAACAATCTCTTTTAATTCAGAACAAATGCGCCATGCCAAAGTGCAACAAATATTGTGCGACACTCAATGAGACACTGACAGATAAGAGCTGCATGGAAATTACTAAATCCACCTGCAAAGCAATTCTGTACAAATTGCATTGCATGCAAAGGTCAATTCTGTGTGGCTGGAAGTTGTTCTTGAAGGCAGTTTCTCAACGCAGCCACAGTTTAAGTCGCAGTGCATCAACTCCATTTAAATAGTATCTGAACAGCCTCTTATCTCGAACAAAACCAAGATTTTCATAAAGTTTCAATGCAGACTTATTTGTTATTTCTGTTTCCAAAACAACCTTTAAAGAAATAAGAGAAAACTGTTATAATTTCATAACTTGAAAAACTTACAAAGTATATAATCAAATATTTACAAAAAATGTACATTGATTTGTCTAAAATCTGATGGCAAAAACAATACTGATGTACAAAAAAGTCATCAAAATGGCAACAGTAATTATCTCTGAGTCAAGGAGGAGTAGATACTGATTTTTGGGATGCTTGCAATTTTTTGCAATGAGAATATATTTTATACTAGAACAGAGATGAGCTATTTCCCTGTGGAGAAAAAAAAAATGTGACAAAGATGAAGAAAAAGAAAAAGCTACAAAGGTTTAAAAAAGTAAGTAAGTACTTGGAAAGTAATCAGATTGACCTCTAATTCCTCTTTTTATTAGCATGTTATAATTTATCCTGTTAACAACTACCACACTTGTCAAGCTATAGACCTTGAGCAAAATGTGCTGCTGCCTGTTTTTGTAAATAAAATTTATAGGTGAACTGGTAATATAGTTCAGTGGTTGAGTGCTTGCCTAGCATGCAAAAAGTTCTGGGTTGATCTCCAACACCGGAGGAAAAAAAAATTTTTTTATTGGAATACAGCCCTGAACATTTGTTTACATTATGGCTGCTTTCTTGATACAAAGCAGAGTTGAGCAGTTGCCACCAAGACCTATGGTCAACAAAGCCTAAAATATTTACTATCTTAGTTTTTACAGAGAAAGTTTTCTAAATCTAGATGAGGGGTACTGAGTCATTATGGTACATCACAATCACCTGGAGGGTTTAATAACAGATTGCTGAGCCCCATTTATTGATCCACCTCCGTAGATCTGGGGTCAGGGAGATACTACAGATACCAAAACTTAACAGAGGGACTGGAGGTGTGGCTCAAGCAGTAGCGCACCTGCTTTGTGAGGATGAAGACCTGAGTTCAAGCCCCAATCCCACCAAAAACAAAAACAAAAAAACCCTTAACAGAGGATTTGAGTCTTTTTGAATATCACTGAACTAGTGACCTTAACAATGAAGAACTGATACTTTTGACTATTGTGTGTGCTTATCTTAATATTTCCTTCCCTCTACCAAAACACTCTCTACTCCATCTTCTCAACTTTTACCTATATATATACATATATATGTATCTGCATATGTATTTGTGTGTGTACGTATGTGTGTGTCTGTTTGCTTTTTCCAGCAGTAATGGGGTTTCAACTCAGGGCCTCACGCTTGCTAGGCAGGGGCTCTACTACTTGAGCCACTCTGCCAACCCTTGTTTTTTGTTTGGTATTTTCCAGATAGGCTGGCTTTGAACCATGATCCTCCTGATCTTTGCCTCCTAGAAGCTAGGATCACAGGTGTGAACCACCAGCCCAGGGTTTATGTTTGCCTTTTCTATTGATTACCAACTCATTGAGAATTATCAACACAGTTAGCCACAGTTACTGTTAGGGTGTCATAACCCTCAGGTGTTTCTAGAGAGAAAAAAATGGCAAAGTATAATCAAACAAAGGCCCAACTAAAGCACATGAGGCTCTTTGTGTTCTATCTTAAGCTATCTAAAATCTGACAAGAATTCAAAACAATCGATGTAAATAGAGAAAAAACAGCATTTCAGCTTACACTGAAAACTGAACTCAGGATGTGCTTTTCCTCCACAATTCTGAATCTCCATAAATACCATCTCCATCCCACACCAATGCCTCCATTTGAACCTCTTTCTTGTCCACGAGCCTAACACTGAATACTGAATACTGTCAATTCTTCCTAATCTCTCAAACTGGTCCTCTTCTTTTAATCTGTATTGACTGCACTCTAATCCAACCTGCCATCAACTGTTGTAATTACAAAGAGCTTCCTAACTCAAAACAGGTCTCCCACTTTCTACAAGTAGAGTGACACTCTTTGCTAATCCCCTACTTAAGATAATTTGATTCTTTTGTCCTCAAGTTAAAGTCCACAAACTAAAAATAATCTGAAAAGACCTAAAAGGCCCATCAAGACATGGTTTTTACCTATCTCTCCAGCTTTGTTTATGTATCTGTCTTCTTCATGTTCAACATCAAACTTTCAGTCTCTGGAACCCACCATGATCTTCCTCACCTTAGATCTTTCAGATAAACTACTTTCTGTTTGGAAGAATGTTCTTCCTGTTCTCCTTGGTTTTGGCCTTGGGCTTATCACTCCCAAATTAGGTAGAATATTGCTTTTCTTTTATACTACCTTGCAACGCTGCACTACTCCATAGAAATACTCTAATGCTTGATGTGTCTATCATTTCTCCCAGCTGGTGAGTCCAATAAAGGCAGGGACCGATCTATACCTCCTTTACAGCTGTTTCCTCTGCACCAAACACACTGCCTGACACACAGAAAGCTCTTCAAAATTTGTTAACTAAATATGTTCTTAGCACCTTTATTATGACATACATTACATAAGCATTAAACAGAAGTATTGCCATGCTTTTTAGATGACCTGAGTCCTTAAAGAAAAAATGTTATCTGAAGGCAATTTCCCATGCAATTAACTCATAAAGGAAATTGTATGTTAAATTCAAACCTCGAAAAGATCTTAAAAATCAAGTAGTTAATAGTTCAGGATCAGTTGGAATTGTTCCTAGGAAGACTTTAAATAAAATTGTAGAGCAAAGAAATTGGTTTAAGATAAGAATTAAAAGTCAACTTCTCTCAGCTCATTAAAAAAAACAAAACACAATTCAATATTTAATAATGTATGTAATGTTAGAGTCTAACTCCAGTATGATTAGTACAAGTTTTCAGTTAAGAATAATTTTCTTGGGAAATTCTTGGAATTCTATTACTAGGACAGCACCTAATTACAGCTAAAATGTTAAATTAAGGTAATTTAATGTGAGAAGTGATAAAGCAGCAACAATGCAAAACTTGAAATTGACTTCACAGAAAAAACAAGTGAACTTTTAAAAAATAAGAGCCATCACTTATTTTCACAGCAACTCTGTGAAACAGATATGGTTATCTTTATTTTACAAATGAATAAAACTTTAAGCAACCAGCAGAGCAAGGATAGATGAGTTCAAATATGAACTAGAGCTTAATAGTAACCACTCTTCAGTAATTCTCTTGATTGTTTCCCACAGTAAACGGGAGATCTAAATTTCTTAGGACAAGATGAAGGGGATCTAAGAGCCCACCATCATTAAGATTTAACAGTCTAAACTATTCAACAGCCATCTTATACAAACATAATTGTTGAATTCTGGTTTGTCAGCCTTCTAATAGATTAAAGCCTAATTACACAGAAAAAACAAAAACTACACTATGAGCTACTCTAATTAAATGTAAAGATTATCTTGTATCTTGGCACATTCACATTCTGTGAATAAACAGGCCATGTATTATTTGACATAACAGAAAATGCCAGGAAGAAGTAACTACTCTTTAGCTTTATAATTAACCATTTAATTTTTTTGCAGGGGTGGTACTAGGGTTTGAACTCAGGGCTTTGTGCTTGCAAAGCAGATGCTACTGCTTGTGCCACACCTCCAGTCCCCATTTAATTTTTGTAAACATAATAAGGAAAATCTCTGAGTTTATACTGGAAATTCACTATAAAGCTTCTCTTTGACTTCACACTACGGAAGTATTACACAGAAAGCCAAAAGACAACTGAAAGGTTTTTTTGATCCCAAAGAAACTTGATGGGTTGAATTCTACAGAAAATGAATTACAATGATGTTCCACTGATTCTCTTTAGCAATAAACCATTATTAGGATAAGCTGAATCATTATAGTTTAGACAGCATTTTTTAATATTGTAGGCTGGAAGCTTGTGGAGAACAGGTATGTCTGCTATTGTCTGGCACCTAGCAGCCTCCACTAGTTATCTACTAAATGAGCTAATTATTGCTCTTTACAACGAAAGATCACAATTAACATCACACTGCAAAATGACAGAAGCAGTACTGCTAAGTAACAGAAGATGGATAACGAATCCAAGTTTCTCACAATTTTTTTTAATCAGAATTTTTCTTTCTTTCCTTCTCTTCAACAGTCTTTTTTCTTTCTTTCTTCCCTTTGTTGAGGAGGTCATTTGCTTGCTTGTTTTATTTTTTTATCTTTTTTATTGTATTATTGAACTGGGGGTACATCATGACATTTACAAAAGTTCTTACAATATAGCACAGTTAAATTCACCCCCTCCATCATTCTCCTTTATCCCCCTCCCCACTCCTGGACTAGTTTCAACAGGTCTCACTTTTCCATTTTTATACATAAGTACATAATATTTCCACCACATTCACCTTCCTACACCCTTTCCTTGTATCTTCCACCCTCCCACTGGTGCCAATCCCCAGGCAGGACCTGTTTAGTGTACCTGTTCTCCGTTTTGGAAAAAAAAAAAAGACATTTCGGTTTATTTAAGATAGCTATACAGTGTTCATTGTGACATTTTCATGTATATATGTATTATAACCTGAATTGGTTCATCCCCTCTATTTTTCTGCTTTCTATCTTAGTCCTCTTCTTATGGTGGTTTCAACAGGTTTAAAAATTCTCTATTCATTCTTAGATAGTGAAAACATCAACCACATTCACATATTCACCTTCTGAACTTCTTTCTTTTACCCTCCTTCTCTCAATTGTGACCTCCCCTTACAGTAACGTATTTTCGTAATATTGCTTTGGTTCTATACCTCACTTTCTTATACACAATTCTGAAATTAGACCAAACCACTCCTGAAAATCCTTACAGCTTAAATAACTTCCATTTTACTCTATTATTTACCTAGCAGCCTCTGTAACATAGCCAAAATATGTTTCCAGTGAAATTAATATGTTAAACATATTAAACACATAATAAGCATAGCAATAAAAACATATAATTAAAAAGTCATCTTTTACCTTATCGGGGGAATAAGAATGATTAGACCTTCCTACCAATACATGCATATATTCTAACCAAAAACTTCCTTAGATCACCTTAGTTCCTAATAATCTAGTCTAGTCATTATATCTGGAATTTACCAAAATGTCCTGTG